AAGGACAGAAAGCAGTGGAGAGCCATGATTGCCCACGTCCTGAAGGGAGATGGCATATAAAAGAAGTAGTTCTTTACCATGTACTCAGTTAGTTGGCTGATGTCATGTGAGTTATGGTCAACAAGAATTTTGAATTCCGAATTAACTTGGTTCTAAACTTATTCGAAACTTTTCTTTCTTTGTTAGATACTTTTTATATCCATATGTAAATTGTGTCAGCATGGGATAATGATCATCAAGCCTTGTATTAGTAAAGGGTTCGATCCTCAGTGGGTATCTCATACAATAATTCATTATTAAATAAGCAAGCATATTTTTTATGTTTGGGTACAAACATAAATGCCTAAATTATGTTAGAGTTAACTGAAGACATCAGGGAATTTCTGTACCTTCCTGTTGAATGAAATTCGATGTTACTTTATGAAAGAATCTCTTGTGCCTGGGCAAAACAATGTGCTGCATTCAAATATTATTCGGGACTAAATGGAAATAATTTGTATATTTTATGTCTAATAAGATCCTTTCGTCATACTTCTGTGTCCGGGTCCCATGAATAAAACTTTTCGATTCGACGCGTTTTTTTTTTTTTTTTGTATAGTAGCCACTAAGCAAATATAATCATCTTCACTGGGAATACCCTTTCGTGTTTTAAATAAATTCAAAAAGTTCGTAATCCATACATTTAATGTGTTCACTGCAAAATATGCTACATTTAAACGTCCAAATTCCTTCATAATACAGTCAATGGTACAAGGCCAACAAATAAGTACGTAAAAATAGTAAGATTAGGCTTTTACAGCAAATCATTCCATTGAATATGACAAAGTTCACAATATACACTTTGTAGAAATGAGATAATCGCACGGACTTTTCAGAAATTGACGTATATAACACAAAAATATTTAATTTGCCTTTTAAAATGAATTATTATTTTGTCTAAAATATGGAAAGCGAAAGATTTGCAACTGATTTTTTCCGTTGTTAAAATCTTTTATTACGAAAAATCAATAGAAATAAAATATAAACATTCAGATAATTAAAAAAATATCAAAATTCAACTAATTACTGAAATTTAATTAAAAAAGACTTATAATCACTTATATATTTTCCTTTATATTTTCGTAAATAATTATTAAAAACGCTCCACAGTGCAGAATATACCGTAAATCTGAAGATTTAAAACTAAAAATAATGCCAAATATTCTTTGATAACATTTTAGAATTTGGAAAAGAAAACAAATTCTATGCTAATATTTTTATAAAGATTTAATCGAATTTTAAATTTAAAATGTTTAATTTATTTTTTTTTGCCTGTCATTGTGTTTGAAATGTTATCAAAAAATAGTAATGACGGTTTAATCATCAAAAAATACAGAAATTCATCAATGATCAATATCTGCTGTAATTTTAATACAGGTTCCGTTACGCAAAGATTTCTTGTTAAACATCAACGGCTTTACGCCGACAATTTTAAACCACTTTAAATGACATATATTTGTAAATTCATGTCCATTTGTATTGTCATATTATGAAATAGCTTTATGTATTGTCATATTATGAAATAGCCTTAAGTACAACCTATAAAAATGTCCATAAAAATAAGTAATTTCGTGTAGGTACCTGCCAAGGCGTTTCGTCGTGCAAGCTGATTTAGCATACCAGTACTGACTGATATGCTTTACTGGGTTCTCAAACTTGTATTCTTGTGCCAATCTTAAGCTATAATTAGTAAATACTTACAAGTTTCGGCATTGTAAAATAAAAAAAAAGTTGATCATGCAAGCTACTGAATTCAATCTTTGTTTGGTGCTCTACTAATTTAACCTTGTACCATACCTGATTAATCTTATTATGAAACCTGTGGAGGTTTTATCAAGCCTAGTGTAGGATTTAGATTTTCACCGGGTTCGCATTTTTTTAGGCCTTTTACTGAATTATGTAATTAAGTATATATAGTTTTTATAACGTTTTCATTACTTTGTTTTTTGTCCGAATAAATTCTATGATTATTGATTATCAATGAAAACTGATATATTATTCGAATAAAGTAATTAGATAAATATTGTGTCGTATGTCATTTGAGTAGGTCGTACGCAGTGCTTTTTGTCCCAAAGCAACTTAATATACATTAAAGTCGACCAAAGTACTTTTCTTTCCCGCCTTTCATATTCCGTCATCCCTTTCTATCGAACTCTCATTTGATCAGAAATTTCCACTAAGTTTACTACTTCTCGTTTTAGGCTTTAATCTCAGAACAAACGAATATTGTTTCAGCTAATGAATTATTTAACAACCAGTATTAACCCTTTAATCTCTATTGCCGAATTTCTGGAACGACGAACCTTTAATCTCTATCGCCGAATTTTTGGAATGGCGAACCTTTAATGTCTATTGCCGAATTTTTGGAATGACGAACCTTTAATGTCTATCGCCGAATTTTTGGAACGACGAACCTTTAATCTATATCGCCGAATTTTTGGAATGACGAACCTTTAATCTATATCGCCGAATTTTTGGAATGACGAACCTTTAATGTCTATCGCCGAATTTTTGGAATGACGAACCTTTGATCTCTATCGCCGAATTTTTGGAATGACGAACCATTAATGTCTATCGCCGAATTTTTTGAATGACGAACCTTTAATGTCTATCGCCGAATTTTTGGAATGACGAACCTTTAATGTTTTGAATGACGAACCTATCGCCGAATTTTTGAATGACGAACCTTAATGTCTATCGCCGAATTTTGGAACGACGAACCTTTAATGTCTATCGCCGAATTTTTGGAATGACGAACCTTTAATCTCTATCGCCGAATTTTTGGAATGACGAACCTTTAATGTCTATCGCCGAATTTTTGGAACGACGAACCTTTAATCTATATCGCCGAATTTTTGGAACGACGGACAAGAGTGTCATATAGGAATAAAGTGTCGTTGCCGACACCGGAGTTTGAACACAGAACATCAGAAAGCAAACAGAGGTGATCCCATTTTGAATAAATAAATATGTGATGGTAAAGGAAATGTATATATGGGAATTAGCGTGGTGTCTAATTGATCACTATTTCTACACTATCCTCTATTACTACACTGATCACTATTCTCTATAATATTCACTATACTATTTCTCTATACTGATCACTATACGGATCACTATTCGATGGTTACTTTTCGAGCGAGTATTATCGAGCAAGTACTATTAGTGCGATTATTATTCGAAAGCGTCTTATACCAGTATTGTTCAACGGCGTTACTATAGTTGTATCTGCGATTACAAAGTCTCTACTACAACGTGAATTACGAAAGTGACAACAAGTGTTCGTTGAGCATCACAAAATTGAGTTTGAAATGTAGGTTTCTAATTAAAAATGGATTTTTATTACCCGATAACAAATAACGGATTTTTTTAATAAATTTATAATAAATACCGGATATTTTTAGAAACATAGAATTAATACTGAATTTTTATTTTAATCTTTTTTATAATTAATACCAGATTTTATTATTGGCTTCTTAATGAATTAGCTGACAACGTATAAAAATCGTTATCAGTTTTTATGTGTGCAATTTTTTTCCAGTGTCCAATTGGTTTTCAACTGCGTTTTCAGTCTATAGATTTTTTAAGACCACTGAGAACATTTACATGCACATAATAATTTCTCATTCAACTCGCTCACATAACATTATTATAATAATGACTATCGACATATTAAAAAAATAACTTTTTCATATGGTAAATTAAAACAAAAATGAGGGCACCTCGAGGCGGTGTAATGGTTAGCAAGCTTGTCTCGAGTAGTGAGTTCGATCCTCTCTCGGTGCCCCATACTTTCGGCCTTGTGCCACATCTAAGCTACGCTTGGTTAATCACTATTAAGCATGAGTCTAGCATAAGGCGTGTGTTCCCATCTGAGGATCGAACTCACTAAATGACATCACGTTATGATGATCTACTTCCATATAATAATTCTAGAACGTGGGCGATAATGGCTTTCCACAATTTTTGTCCACTTACTACCACTCCCTCTTCTTCTGTAAATTACACAAGTTTGTTCTTTCCTTCTGTCTCTTTTGTTTTCAGTATATCCTGTGAGTGTCAAATTCTCCAAGCCCTCTTTCTTCATAATGGGTTACATAAATTTAAACTGTCCCTTTCATATTCTAAGTACAAGTATCCTTTTCGTTACTATTTTTCATAAAACTTCATCGTTATTCACATATCCGTCCATCGTATTCTCAACATCCTTCTGTAGAACCACATTTATGTTACATCTTCATCTGTGAGGAAAGTGTCCCACATTCACTGACATAAAGAAAGACTGATATGACATGGCAGTTCATAACTTAAACATCAGTCATCTGAATTTACTTATTTTTAAACTTTTTATTTGCTGTTGTTTCTTTTATTTTAGCATCCTGATAAAACACGTTTCAAATTTCGAACCGAACTCTTCATTTCGTTCACCAGGGTAGATTGTTCTAGTTCCACGTGCCGTGCCATCTTCCGGATATCTCATGTTCAGTTATTTCTCTTTAACTCAACTCTCCAAGTTTTTGCTCATCTCTGCTGTGGCCATTTTCGGTTAAGTCACTGGATTACTTCAAGCAACGCCTTTATCCAATATGACTTGGCTCAAAATGTTGTGAGTGTCTGAACACAGCAGAGGCGAACATAAATATGGAGAGTTGAGTTAAAGGAAAATAACTGAAACTGGAAAAAGGCATGGAACGTGTAGAACAATCTACCCCGGTGGACCAAATAAAGGTTTCGGTTCGAAATTGTGAAACGTGTTTTATCAAAATGCTAAAATATAAGAAAACAACAACAAATAAACAATTTTAAAAAGTCCAATCACCAGAAGAAGGCCGAGGCGTACAACGACCGAAACGTCGTGAATATGGCAACAGAAATGAGGGCAACCACCCGAACAATGTGAATAGTGTAAATAATTACATTTCAAAATATCGAAAACTGTTTAATAAATTGACAAACATTACCTGAGATCTTCTGATAAGGTTTGAATGATGTTGTTTTCTTGTAACAAAGACCTGCTGTTAACATGGCGATCATTAACAGACCGACAACGATCAGAATTAGAACAGTGAGGGTCAACTCATTCAGACCTACAAAAAGAGAGAAAAAAAGATTGAGATTTTTACATTAAATTTGTCAGTTGTCATTTACCAAAAATATGAACATAGTTTTGTATACGAATTATGCTTCATGTAGACAGATAGACTACAGCAATGGATGTTTTTAAATTAACCGACATTTATCTTTGACTAGCAGTAGAGCCCGGCGTTGCCCGGGGATGTAACAGTAAGAGATAGATCAAGTATCGAACATCATAAAGACTGAAAAAAAAATTGACAAAGATTATTGTTTAAGGTTGACGGACACGCATGTCTTAATTAGTTTTGTTTTGTTTTTGTTTTTTTGTTTGTTTGTTTTTTTACGAATTGGTCAAATCCAAACTCAAACAAAAGCATTGTTTTCAATCGTTATGAGTCTACCGATTGAATAGAATTTTATTATAAACAATTGTCTTGTAAATAGAATTTTTAAAGCATTCTGAATGTAAAAATAAAGAAAAAAGTGTGAAAGACAATAAGAAACACTACCGGCAAAAAAAAAAGTGAAGTTTTGTTGAAATCGGTTGAAAAATGTAGGAAATCCGATCCCATATATAAACGAACACATACACACACTCACAAACAACCTGGGTTTTATAATAAGTATAATTCGATATGAGTTTCATTCTCGACAGCGATGCCTCTTAATCGTGTTTTCAAATTGATTTCGTGCAAAAACAATTGTGTTTTTCCAATTTTTTGGCGCTGTCAGAACCACCGCAAGGTAATTTTACGTAGTCCTGTGAAGTTTTGTTGAAATCGGTTGAAAAATGTAGGAAATCCGATCCTATATATAAACGAACAGACACACACACACACACACAACCTGGGTTTTACAATAAATATGATGTCGCCTTTTTGCAGTTGAGATTGTTAATAACAACTTACTGATGCAGCCCAATCAATAACTCTGTAGACTAACAATAATAAAAGCATTTAATTTACGAAACATATTTAGTCTAGACGTGATTGCTTTGTTTTCAGTCCACATAATTCAGTAAGGAATTACATAACTCAAATATCAATTTTTCAGATAAAACATTCAGCCAATAACTATGTTTCAAATCGAAGTTAACGTCCTTCAACATCGCCTCCGTCGGGCGGGTCACATATCCAGAATGCGTCCCATTCGACTCCCACGTATCATTCTGTTTGGAGAACTCGCCATGGCAAGAGGTTACGCGGAGGACTAATACGATGCTTCAAAGATCGGCTGAAAACATTCCTGGTGCAGGCCAACATCGACCATGAGATCTGGGAAACCGACGCTTCAAGCATAGAACCATCCCATGTGTTGGGGGCAACCGTCAACATGAAGAGGACCTGCGCCGTGCTATCAAGTGGGTCTGACTCGCCCAGCCGCATCCACCACCCACACTCCCTAATGACTCTTGCACACACCTCTTCAGGAGTAGGCTGGGCTTTCACCACCATCTCCGTCACTTCCACCAGAGTGGATGAAATGGAATAAGGAGAAAGGATGACCGTCCCGATGCCCGAATGCGAGCGGAGGCCGACGATGTATTAAGTTACAGAATTATTTGTCTTCTTTTGTATTTATTTCTAGTCGATGTTTTGGCAGATTCTTTCAAGCATTTTGTACTTAGCTAGTTTCAAAATTAGATATTACAAATTATACTGTATACATAATTTCCCATAGAGTCAAAAATAACATCCGATTATTGTTTTACAGCTGTTAGTTGATTACTTGTTTACTTTTTTATTGCAGTATACAAGAAGGTAGAAGTAAATGAAAAGCGTGTTTATCTAACCATTTATCCTGGGAGTGGAGAATTTTTAAGGAAGTGTGCCAAACTATTTTATTTGCAATTTTCAAAATGCCTTCCTTGAGATATCTAGGCACAATGTCATCCAAATAGTCGCAGAGTGACACACATGCTCGCACAGTTCGATATCAATTTCGCTAAACATTGCAGTGAATTGAACCTTTAATTTCTAAGTGTTACAAGGCTTTTCATGATAAACAAATTCTTTCATGAACCCCCAGAGAGGTTTGAAGACTGGGGAGCGTACCGGTTACTAAATCCAACTGCAGTGACCGATCTGCTTTTTTCGTATTTTTTTCGCAATCCTGGAATGGTTGGCGCTTCCTCAAGGGTACTGGCGGTAAACGCGTTATCTGCCTGATAGTTTGGTAACCAAAACTTAAGAAGTCTATCCTGTCAGAAGATTTATAATATCGCAGCGACTTTACTGCTATTTTGTGAATGGGATCAAGACCCTATAGCAGTTTCGGTTGTGACCTCTCGATTTTACGAAGAAGTGTACAGCTATTATTGTGCTTTCTGGTGACTATTTCGGATGTTTTCTTTTTTCTACATATATCGCTTAGAGTGTTCATATTTCGTTACTTTGACCCGTCACTTCCAAATGAATATGTTCAGAAGAACCAAACTGAGATCGACCATAAACAATGTACACTCAAACTTCTCCATGTCCTTCATTAGCATAAGGGGTATACGATCCAGCAATCCAAAGATTTAACTGGCCTCCTGTTCGTATCTGAGACTGAGCTTAACCAGTCTATTCCAATTCAAGACTTCACGACCCCGGGGTACTCAACCCAACTCACGAAAGATAACTCTCTAAATAGAGATGGCCGGGGAATTAGCGTTTATATAATGAATGGGTTCTCCTGTGGTAGAAACAAAATAAAACGATGATCCAGACTTCCAATTCATGTACTTACGGGTGGCCCTTGTAATTAAGCATGTCTTTCATTTTTACTGTTTATCGCATTCGCCACAACAGTGGGAGGATTGACGACAACCTCTCTGTTTATTCCTCTGCTACCATTAACATGTGTAGCAATTTCAAATTCACCATAATGCGGAGCTAGTCGACTCAAACAGAACTGACGAAAAGGAGAATTGACCAATATTATAGAAAAGTCGCCTCGTGTTCCCGAGATAACTGGGCGTCATGCTAACCTATTAGACCTATTCCTTAACACATGCCGTGACCAATGTTCTGCAGAGGTGTTGTCTCTCTTGGGGACCTCAGACTTCTCCTTCATCTTTGTCAAGGTTGATGCAAAACCACACATCTCCTCAGAGGTGCCGTTTCATAGTACAATCTATCGATATAACATATAGTGCAGGATCACCTCACTCAGCTCTCTTCCGAGGCGAACTTTCCAGGACGCCCTCACTTGAGTGGTTTCTCCCCGGCATTGAAAGCGTTATCCCTCAAAAGAAATATCAGCAAAAGGCAAACAATCAGCCCTGATTCATGTTTAAATGTGCTGCGTCCAAGGCCCACCGTAATCCTCACTATCGTCTTTATCAAAGGAGACGGTGTAGTAAAAAATGCGCCTTATTCAGAACTATGCATAATCACTGCAAGGTCCTGGAAAATGTAAAAGAGCCGATATGCGTAGGCACTTAAAGATAAAGTAGAAAACAAAAAGCATTCGTCCGCTGGTTCTAGAAAATTGCAAATCCAGTACTTAATAGAGGCAAAAAAAGCTACTGGTCACGATAAAATTCCTACTGGTATTTTTAAGAACCTTGTCCAACAACTCTCTAATCTTGCTGAAGCTATATGTTCTGTATACAATGCAGTTGGGCCCTCGTTCCCGTGAAAATATCGCCCCATCAGCCCCATAAGTTCCATTAACAAACTCTTTGAAGCTATCGTAAACAAGAAAGTTGTTGAACACAACAAAAACAAACGTCTAAGCGACAAACACTGTAGTATTCCCCAAACCGGGTCCACTGCTGGTGTCCTAGTTATCTTCACGCATAGAATCACTGAAGAACTCGATAATAAAAATAGCAGGTGGGTGATAACACTAGATATCGCGAAAGCTTTAGACAAGTTGTTACACACAGTGTTGCTACACAAACTTGTCAGTATGGAATCTCTGGGAGAGTCCTCTCAGTGATCAAAGCCTTCTTGCTAGATAGGTACATGAAATCAGTGCTGACGTACCCCAACGCTCTCTCCTCGGATCTAATCTCTTTCTACTTTATATTAACTATTTTCCCAAGAACACTCTTAGATCCCTAGCAAATATATATATATTATATATATATATATATATATATATATATATATATGCCGTTGATATCACAGTTATGCGTACACCAACAAATATCTTAATGACAGTAGTTTCTCCTCTGATCTATTTCTCACGGCTCAATGGGAAATACACCCAAAACCAAATTAGTAATTTTTCATCACCACCAAGCAGACTCTAAACCTGAACCTAAACCTAAACCTACATCAATCGTGATGAGTGATCATTAGGTCCCTCAAACGGGGAGTCTGTTTCAAGTATCCACTAAATAATAACATTTGAAGTAATAAAAATGTCGGTGTAAAAATAAATCCATTAATTAATATATATATATATATATATATATATATATATATATATATATATATATATATATATATATATATATATATATAGAGAGAGAGAGAGAGAGAGAGAGAAATCTAAAGAAGTAATGGGTTTTATTAATCTGTCAGATTTTATTACTGAGGTTTCCTATTTTTTAGTAGATACCAATATTCGAGTAGGCGTCCCGTTTATTTATTAAATATTATATTTATTTATTTCCGTCTACCAGCATAATGTTTCGAAGGTTGGAGAAAGATTTGCGTTTATAAGGTACTATTCAAGTCCACGTGATCGTCAACACACTTCGTGGACGAGACGGTCTAATGCTCATTGGATCTAATGAATGTTTTCTCTGCCAAGGGTGTACAAAGGTTCGATTCCTACCGCAGAGCGCATATTTTTCCTTAATAAGGTCTCTCTAATATTCAGGTTGGTAGATGAAAATAAATAAAGATAATGCTTAATAAATAAACCGAATGTCTACTCAAATCTGGGTATCCACTAAAAACTGAAGTTCAAATAATAAATCTATATATAAAATTCTGTGACATCCATTAGTCCGTTCCTACGTCGAACCCTCTAAAATAGCCATACAAATTTTAAAAACAATTTAATGATTAAA